TTCTGCCTTTCCTTTGTTGCCCAGGATGGCTTTTGCTATTCTGGGCCTCTTCTGGTTCCAGATCAATTTTAGGAATGTTTTGTCTAAATCTGTGAGGTATTCTAATGGCATTTTAATTGGGATTGCATTGAATCTGTATAACAATGTTTGGAGCCATGGCCATTTTCAATTTTGGGAGTCATGGCCATTTTCAATTTTGGGAGTATGGCAATTCTCCTCTGTTTAAACTAATATGTATTGGTATTTTTTTCTATGAATTGTCTAGTAAAGACCTCTGCATATTTTCTGTGATTGCTGATTCAGTGTGTTAGCTAGTATGTGTCTAATAATATATCCATTTCTTCAGTGTCTTAGATATATGCCATTTTGTTGGCATACACTTCTATTCAGATAATCCTATGTGATCTTTATCATTTGTAATTTTTACTGTAATCTCTCTTTTTAGCATTCTAGTTTTAATTTGAATTTTCTCTACTTTTTCCCTAGTTTAGCTAATGGTTTGTCAGTTTAGTTAGTCCTCATGTAATAACAATGAGAATGAAAAGGAGGAAAAGTGAGTGAGAAATGGAGAGAGGCGAGAGAAGAGGATTAAAAAAGAAACACAAGCTGCACTGTGCCCATGTACCTTCTCAGCCATGTATTTGAAAACTACATGTACTGCAAACATATAGTAATTAAATGAAAATAAAAATAAAAAACAAAATTTTTGTTTTTGATTGCTTTCACCTTTTTATAAAATTCACTAAATGTTATAGCACCAATCTGATGGACAGATGATTGTGTCTCTGTTTCACATAGTTACATTTGTTAGTCACTGGGGAAATTGACTTATTTTTTGTCACCAGTTTCTAGTTAAGTTTCTTATTGTCAAATGTATATTCCTCATGATTTAGTTCCTTTGACACATATAGTTATGTGCCTTATGGTCTTCTTTATTGTTAATTATTGTGAATGTTCCATAAATCCTTAGGTATGAATAATCTCTCATCTGTTTTCTCTTTCCCTGTTCCTCTTCTAATACATATTTTACCCAATGATCTGTGTAAAACTATGGCATACTGAGACTTTTTGACTTATTGGTGAAGCAGACTCTACCAGCATTTGAATCAAGTTTTCAATAGCTTGTTCTAAAATCAATTTTCTTCCTCTCTGGTTGTGAGTTCTGATGTCAAGTGAAAATGCATAGCTTAAAGGATGTGCTCATCAAATTCATATATTTTGCTAAGGCATGATCTATTACAAATATACATTTCATTTGTTACTACCCATTTTACAAAATACTGGAATTCAAAAAAGTGGTTTCACCCATGCGTCTATTATTGTATTTTGATTCTATTCGGTCTCCTTACTATCCTACTTTAAAGCCATAGGTCATGATTTTAATAAAAGAGATTTTATATCTTCATTTCTGCCCAAACTGTCTATTCCCTTTTTGATGAATATGACCTCAGATTGTTCAATTATGACATTCCCTCAGAGAATATGTCTCTGGAAATCATGTTTTAGACAGTTATTCTTCTGGCATCTCTGGAGCTGCACACTGTACTCTCAGAATTATAACTGAGGTCCCACTGAGTTTAATTACAAAAAAAACCACCTTGGAGATTCAGCAAATGAGTGATTCAATGATATGTGTTATGGTACAGATAAAGTGTCCACAGACTTTTACCCTAACTTCAGGGAGTGTTAGTTTATGCCAGTATTCATAAGGTTGTTTTCCTAGGAATTGATAAACTCAAATCATGACAGAGTAGGGATTGAATGTCATCTCCATATTTAGTCAAACTTAAATTCAAGTATGATGTGTGAAGCCAGACCAGTGTACTGGGCTAGTATTAACAATAATTTCATGATTTCACTTTTGCAGGTCTAAAACACAAATTGGAAATACAAATGTGTTGCATGAATCTTTTTTTCCCAAAAAAAAAGTATTATTTTACCTCAAAGTGCTTGTTTAATGTTGGTTTGTATTTAGGCCAAATTGTCCAACATTGAATACCTGGGGTTTCTTTGTTTTAACCATGATTCAGATTTCTTGTCATTACAGGCATTCTTTATATTAATTTTTAAAATCACAACAATTAAATAACATTTCTTTTCTGGAAGTCTGATGAATCAATCTCTGTAAATAGAAAAAGTGGGAACATCTCAGTGTGCAGTGGTGAGTGTGTGCTCTTTTGCTCTCTGTATTTTCAGGGATGACATCGTTGCATGAACCTGTTATCACAGAGGACCACGGGGAAAGCTCCAAAGTCCAAAACTTCAAATGATGGAACATATCCTTTTCAGGTAACTTGGGAGAGGTTTACTTATGAGATTCTGGACTAAAGTTTATGTATGCTAGCGTAGAGGTTGCATAGGAACTCATACTCTTTTTAAAATTCTACATGATTTTGGTAGAGGGTCTTCTGTCATTGCTAAAATATGTGTATATTGATTCCAATCCTTAATACACTTCTTGGATATTTTAATATCATAAATATCCAGCTTAAATGTATTCCTCTAACATCAGTGATCTTACAAAGTATTTTGAAGTGTAACCATTTGGGAGATGTAAAGAGCCAGGTTACTTTTAAATCTCTTTATAGGACGAGCCAAGTTTTCTTCTAGAGATTGTTTAGATGTTGAACATCAAAGGGTGAGTTTATCTCTGTTAGAAGGTGAATGTGTGACTTCCAAGAGGAGCTAGGAAGTCTTGACCAAGGAAGCTGTTACTTCAATCCATAGGAGTGGTGGGAGGAGTCAAGCAGGACTCAGATGCACCAGTGGACTCAACAAAGTGGAGATCTTTTTCTAAGAAGAGCTGAGAAGTGAGGTAGGGTGCTTGTTTCAACCAGATGTTGGATCAAAGGATAGACTTTTTCAACATGCAGACATGTTGTATAAATATGTTGACAGAATGGTGCAATATGGGGTGAAAAATTGATGATGTAGGAAATGGAGGGGAAATGAGAAGAGCAGTATTATTAAGAGTAATGGAAAGAATGAAATTGCAAGAGCAGAGTTATGGGCCATGGTGAGGAAGGAAGAAAATCCAGGTTCATGAAGAGGAAACGGGGCAGAATTTATGAAGTCAGATTGAAGTAAAGGTCAACAGTTATTTAGGAGTAACTGTTGGTACTAGGATTACTTTAGAATACAAAGGGACTCGTGAATATTAATCCTACCTATAGTAGAGTTTTCATAGTCAGTGTGAAAATTTCCTCTGCATCTCTGGCTGCCTGTCAGTACCTTGTTCCCCTCTTTTCTCCTCCTCTTCCTCCTCTTCACCTCCTGCTTTTCCCTCTCTCCCTCTCCTCACTTGTGCCCCTCCTGTCATTTTGATCCTTCATGTACAAACCATCAGGAGCACAATTGGGGCATGAATCACAGACTGTGGTAGTGCCTGCCTGAATAGCATAAACATACACCAGGTTCACAACGTACCGATGTACTTCCATATTCTCCATACTCATAAGGGAAATAGACATTTATATAAGTGGGTAGGTATATGGTACTTTATATTTGTTTTATAATAATATCTGGCCATACATAGGTTTCTGCTTATTCAATAGTAACTTGTGAAATTTTTATAATTACATAATTACAAAATTACATAATTTTGTAAGGGAAACTGTCTAAGGGAACAGTTCTAAGGGAACTGTCATAATTGTAATTGACTTTTATAAGTGACAGCTTTTAAGAGATTTTATAATCTGTTAATGATTTATTATTATTCAATTTAAATAGTGAAATTTAGACGTTCTACTAAACTAACAAATAAAACATGTTGTACATATGTCCTTATATACTAAGGCTTTAATTTCCATGGAATACATTACAAAGAGCGTAATTGTGGTTGATGGTATGTGTATTTATACTTAGTGTCAAACTGTGTTCCAAAAATTGTAAAATTCAAAGTTGAGAAAACATTGTTTTAAAATTATATCAGTCCCCTTTAGAGCTTTATTACATTTAAAATCTGATCTCAATGAACTGACATTTATATGTTTTCTTTTGTCATTTTCTCTTTACACATGAATGGCAGCATCTTATGTTTACTGGTCATGTGGATGTAGTGTTTCTTTCATTATCTACTTATATCATCCATCCACTTTGCTATTGGTTTTTATTTATTATTACTTAAAAGCTTTTGTAAATTTTAGATAGTAACATTTTGTATTTCCTAAGGTGTAATTCCATTCTCCAAATACTTGTGTCTATTTATTTTCTGACACCATTCCTCCTCAAAACGGCACCAGCTTCCATCAAATTTGAAATCTTGCAATCTCTGACAAGACTGGAACATAATAAATGACAGTGTCTATAAAGGAAATGAATAAACCTATTATCTTACATTTCTAAACTCATGCTAACAATTATCTTTGCAGATAATTTTATTCTGAGCAGAGACACAAGGACACACAGAAGGACGCATGGAACAAAGGAACAATGTGACCGAGTTTGTGCTCTTGGGGCTCACTCAGAGCCGCCAGGGTCAGAAAATACTGTTTGCTGTGTTCTTGCCGATCTACGTGGTGACAATGGCAGGCAACCTACTCATCGTCCTGACTGTGGTGCTCAGCCCAGCCTTAAATGCCCCAATGTTCATCTTTCTTGGCTACTTATCATTAATGGATGTTGTTTATACCACTACAGTTACCCCAAAGGTGATTAAAGACTTACTCTACAAGAAGACAAGCATTTCCTTCAAAGCTTGCATGACACAGCTTTTTGCAGTTCACTTATTTGGTGGCGTTGACATAATACTCCTGGTTGTCATGGCCTATGACCGCTATGTGGCCATCTATAAACCCCTGCATTATCTGGCCACCATGAACCAACAGCGGTGTGCTCTGCTGCTGCTGCTCACCTGGGCTGGTGCGTTTGTGCATGCTGCTCCACATGTACTTTTTGTATACAATCTTCCCTTCTGTGGCCCCAATGTCATGGACCACTTCATCTGTGACATGTATCCCCTATTAAAACTTGCCTGCACTGACACCCATGTTGTTAGCCTCACAGTGGTGGCCAATGATGGTGCCATGTGTGTGGTTATCTTTTTACTCTTGCTGGTCTCCTATGGGGTCATTTTATGCTCCCTGAAGAACCTGAGTCAGGAAGGGAGGCGCAAGGCCTTATCCACCTGTGGCTCCCACATCACGGTGGTCATCCTCTTCTTTGTTCCTTGCATTTTTATTTATGTGAGACCTCCCTCTACCTTACCTATTGATAAATCCATAACTTTATTTTACACCATTATCACACCTATGCTGAACCCCCTCATCTATACTCTGAGAAATACAGAGATGAAAAGTGCCATAAAGAAGCTCTGGTCTAGGAAACAAAATTGAGTTTGTTTCACTTATGTTCAGTGAAGAGTTGGTTCTCCTAGGAAAGTCATGTGTTATTATTTTAGTATGCTGAAACTTCATTCAAGTCTAATAACAATAGAAGACATGTATGATGTGAATTCTTGTAATAGTCTATGTAATTTCAAGACTATTAGAATTTGTTAGGAAAATATATATTCTTAAATTTTCAGTAGAGACTATCAATTTGTGCACCATAATTAATGACATAAAGTTATTTACTGAATGAGAGTTTTTTCATGGATGTAACAAAAAAGTCAGTTTTTCAGAAATAAGTAAGATAAATGATAGGAAGCAGGGAGAGAGAGGATTGTCAAATAGGAAGGGAAAAAAGACTTGGAGGGAGGGATAGGGGAGGGGCTGAATAAAAGAATGAAGATATGTTCCGTACACACCAAATCCATGCAAGGAATGTAAGCACCATGTATCACAAATGTATGCTAATAGATTTAAAAAGCATCAAAAAGGAATTACTAATGTTTAAGATACAATTTGCAAAAAAAAAATCATATCTAAATATACATTCTTTTTTCAGAATTTCAGGAAATAATGCTGAATCACATATATACTTGAAATGTCTGTCTTAATTTGTTTTGCAAGACATGATGTAATTTTGTAGTATTGCTTAGCATGTAATGCTTGAAGAAGAATATTTTTAATATATTCAGAAAGAAGCTGTAAACTTAAACAGCAGAAAACAGTACTAATGGAAATATGAAAATGACTTATTTTCCATGGACTTTAGCATTTCTTTGCAGTTTTTTTCCCATAACATATAATCCTATAGAGATACACAGATTATTGTATTTCCAATTCACATAAATTGCTTAATTTTAAATACTTGGGGAACATTGTGTTTGATATTGTCAACAATTCCTAGTTGAATTCCTTATGATCGTAAATAGAATCCATATGATTTAAATCTTTTGAGGTATACACCACTGTGTGTCATGGTCCGGGTGCTGTGTATTTTGGTGAATACTTCATGAATACTTGTAGATACATAAGACAGCCCCATATCTGTTTTCTCTTTTCCAGGGCATGTTCTACTAAAAATCCTAATGATCAGACTGTTTGAAACTGTGATACACAAACTTTTTCATACAGGTGAACTAGGCTTTATCTGTATTTGAATCAAGTTTTCAATGACTTCTTCTAAAATCAGTTTGCCTCATATCTGCTTGAGAGTTCAGATGTCAACTGAAAATTGTTAAACTATTATCAAATTTGCCTACATTGTAGGGCATGAGTTTTAAAAACTATTCTTTTTATTAGTGCCTCTTATTTGTCCAAAATACTGGGATTCAACATGCTGTGTACTAACATGCACATAACACTCATATGTTTGGACCATATCTATCTCTCCTATCATCCTCCCTTAAACCCATGGCCATGATTTTTAATTAGAAAGTTTTTAGATATTTTATTTCTGTCCATCCTGGTTTGTTTCCTTTTGGAAATTTGACCACAAGTTGTTCAATCATGCTATTTACCCCAGAGGATATGTCTCTGGAAATCGTGTTCTCGATTGTTATCCTTCTTCTGGCATCTCTGGAGGTGAATACCCTGCCCTCAGAGTTATGACTGAGGTCCCAGTGAGTTTAATTAAGGAATAACCCTTGCACATGTAGCTAGTGAGGGATTCAACCATAGGTGGTGTGATAAAGTGTCCACAAATTTTTTCCTTCCCTCAGGGAGTATTTGGCTAAATGAGCTTTCACTGGACTGTGTTCTTAGCCTTCAAAACAATAGACTCAAAGCCTGATGAAGTAGGGGTTACAGGTTTTTCTCCATCCTTTACACCCTCCCAAAGCCATTTGAAGGCAGGGTGATAGAACTGTTCAGGAATCAAAATATTTTGAGGGCTATTTCATTATTTCTCTCTTATTTTATAAAACACAAATTGCAAATATATGCCTTAGTAATCCAATAAATTTGCCTATTATACATTAAAATGCTACTTAATATTGTTTCTGAGTCAAAATATTGCCAAAACTGAACTTTGGGTATTTCTCTTTTATAATCAAGAATCAGACTTGAGTTTATATGACATTCATGGTATTTACAATCACAAAAATTTAATAAAGTAACTTTTTAAATAAATTGGATAAAGTATCTGCTGCAAGTATAGCAAGACCGGTCAGTGGAAACATTCCCAGGTGCAGCAATTGTGTGCATGGTATTTTGCTCTCTGTATTCCCAGAGATGGCATCACTGTGTAAAATTTAGGACCATTTAGGACCAGGAGAAATCACCAATCCAGCTCCTGGACTGAAGGACTGTCTGCTTATGTACAGGTAACTCGGGAGGGACACTCGTGTGTCAGGCTCTGAGGGAGGGTTTTCATAATGCAAGTACAGAGGATTCATCACAGTAGAACTCAATCTTTTCAAGCTTCTGTAGGAACCTGATACTCAGTTACACTACAATGTCCTTTGTCACTGCTAAACTATATATAAATTGATGCCAGTCTTTAACTCTTTTAGGATCTCTTAGCACTATAAAAACCTAGAATGAATTTGCTTTCTCTAACATCAGTGTTCCTGTAACTATTTTAAGTTATAAGTATTTGGAAGATGTTTGGTGTGCAGGTGTTTATACATCTCTTGGTAGAACCAAATCAATTATCCTCTAAACATCATTTACAATATTACAAATTAAAAGGTGATGTCATATTTGTAGGAGTTGAATAACTTTAGATCACAGAGTGGAATACTTAAGCAAACAAAATTTTATATAAATTCTTAGAAATGGTGGATCAAGTAGGAAGAGGACTCAAATTGACCTTTGGCCTTAATACAGGAAGAGGTTTTTCTAAGAAGAGAGAACTGAGGTGGGATCTTGCACAAAAGAGATGTGGATCTAAGGATAAATTTCATCCAGCATGCAGATATGCTGCCTGAATAGAACCACAAAGTGCTTAATCTTAGGTGGGAAAACTGATGATGTGGGAAATGGTGGGGGAAGTTGGAAGAGCAGTGCCCTTAAAAGGATGAAACCTACTGCCTGCGCAGAGACAGGGGGTGGAATTAAGAAATGATAATTCAAATTTGAGTAGAGCAAGGGGGCAGAATGTGTGAACTGTGATTGAAGAATATGTCAAAAAGTCTTAGAGAGTGACTTATTTCTATGATTATTTTCCCTGGAAACTGAAGTAGTGAAAATGGACTCTGTGAAGATATCATTTTGTTTGTTTCCCTTGCCCCCTCTCCTTCTCTTTCCTCTCTTCTCTCCTCCTTCCCCTTCATTTCCCCTGCTGTTTTCCTCCTCAGCTTGGATGTCCCTCCTGTTCCTTTCACGTTCACACATCACACTTGCTTCTTCCGGCTCTGACACCACAGATGTAGACCTGCTTTAGCCAAGCATGTGGACTTCCATAGTCCCAATGCCCATGGACCCACACACAAGCATTCACAATTGGATATAGATAGTCTTATATATTTGTTTTATAATGTTATACATACTTTTAGGTTTGATTCTTTCTTATTCCACTGTAATTGTGGAAATTACTCCTAGGGTACTTATGTACCTGTAATTACTTAAATGGCTGTTTTCTATTTAAAGGATTTAATATTCCATCCAGCCATATCTTCCTTTAGCATTGATCTTTATATTTTTTTTACTTTTTTCTTTAATACCATTAAAATAATGATGTAAAACCACAATGCGCACAAGTTTTTATGTACTAGAGTCTAACTTTCCATGGCATATGTTCCAAAGTGTCTAATTGCTGTGAGGAAAACTATGTGTACTTTTAATCCATAGAGATTGAGAAATTCTATTCCAAAAATTATAAAATTCAAATGGCAAGTAAAAATTCTTTTCATTTTAAATATTTTAAAGCTTTATCATGTTTAAAATGTGATGATTATAAAACATCTTTTTATATCTGCTTGTTGATGAATTAAGCATTTTACCATATGATTTTTGATAACTGACTGTATATTTTAAGTTGTTTGTATCCTTTGTCCAATTTGCTATTGCCTTGTTCTTTTCAAATTAATTTCTTAAAATTTGTTGTCTATTTCAGGTGCTATCTCTGCTTATGTTCTCTAAAATTCAAATCCTTTATCTAAACTGATTTTATGTAATTATTTATGGAAAACTTTCTTGCTTTGCAAAATTATTTTGAAGTTGTCAAATGTGTAACTTGAGATTCCTCTTATTAGCTGAAAAGACTCTTCTAAACCCATAAGTAGAAAATCATCTCTATTTCATGACCTTGTGGTATATAAAAAGTAAGTTTTCTTTTCATTTTATTTTCAATCTTTCATATATTTTTAGTTTTGATTTTGGAATTATCCATATGCACAATACTAGTAACAACCACTGGAAAAGATAATTTTCTGAGATTTACTTTTCTTTTATGAAAAGTCATTTTTCTGTATGTCTCTGATTGTTAATCTCTGTTGCTTGGTCTGTAAGATCACTAAAGTTATAGACATGTTTCCAGTTTGCCTCATTATCACTTTCAGTGATGGGATATAATAAATCATAATGGCTATTTATGAAATGAAAAACAAGTCATATTAAATTTCATGAACTCACTAGTAATAATTCTGTTTGTATATAATTTTATTCTGAGCTGTGACACAAGGACACACAGAAGGACGCATGGAACAAAGGAACAATGTGACTGAGTTTGTGCTCTTGGGGCTCACTCAGAGCCACCAGGGTCAGAAAATACTATTTGCTGTGTTCTTGCTGATCTACCTGGTGACAATGGCAGGCAACCTTCTCATCGTCCTGACTGTGGTGCTCAGCCCAGCCTTGGATGCTCCGATGTTCTTCTTTCTTGGTTATCTATCACTTATGGATGCTGTTTATTCTACAACAGTTATCCCAAATATGATGATAGACTTACTCCATGTGAAGAAAACCATTTCCTTCAAAGCTTGTATGACACAGCTTTTCTTAGAACACTTCTTTGGTGGTGCTGAGATTTTGCTCCTGGTTGCCATGGCCTATGACCGCTACATGGC